TGGCCGGAATTAATTCTGACTGCAGAGATAATACGGTGGACAAGAATATGAAATTATGGAAACAAATGGTTGATGGATCGGATAAAGGTTTAAAGTGTTGTTTGAGAGGGAAGTTAAATATGCAGGATCCAAACAAGTCCTTAAGGGATCAAGTTTATTACAGATGTAACTTGACCCCACATCATAGAATCGGATCGAAGTATAAGGTTTATCCGATGTATGATTTTGCATGTCCGTTTGTCGATGTTGTTGAAGGGATTACGCACGCGCTTCGATCCAGAGAGTACCAGGATCGGTCCGATCAATACCATAGGATTCAGAAGGATATGTGATTTCAGAAGGTCCATATTGTGGAGTTCAGTAGAGTTAATATGGTGTATACACTTCTAAAGCAAGCGTCAATTGCGTTGGTTCGTCAACAACGGAAGAGTTGACGGCTGGGACGATCCTCAGTTTCTGACAGTTCAAGGGATCGCTCGCAGGGGGTTGAGGATTGATGCGCTGATTCAGTTCATGCTAAATCAGGGCGCATCTAAGAATCTTAATCTAATGGAATGGGATAAGCTTTGGTCCATAAATAAGAAAATTGTGGATCCAGTTTGCCCTCGACACAAAGCAATTATTGATGACAAAAAAGTCTTGTTAACATCGAGTAATGGTCCTTTAGATCCTTTTGTTCAAGTCATACCAAAGCATAAGAAGTATTTTGGCGCTAGAGATAAAGCCACGACTTACACCAAAAATATATGGATCGATCAGGATGACGCGAAAACCATGTCTCCAAATGAGGAAGTCACACTAATGGATTGGGGGAATGCTGTGATAAACAGTATTGATATGGACCAGCGAGATGGATTATGTGTGACAAAAATGGCTAGAGTTTTGAATCTTGGCATATCAGTGAAGACTTCAAAGCTGAAGCTGACATGGTTGCCGGATATCGACGATCTCGTCACACTCTCATTGGTTCATTTTGACTACCTGATTACAAAGAAGAAGGTGGAAAAGGATGATGATTTTGTAAATGTGGTTAATCCATTGGTGGGTTGTCAAACCAACAAAAATAAAAGAACCTACTCCTAAGAAATTTAGTAGTATAGCAATGAGTAGGGTCGTCTCCTCAGGGAGCAAGGAAGTGAAAATATTTCTAATCAAAAGCAAAGTAACTAAATGGGAGAGATTTTGGATTTGTAACTAATGAAAACAAAAATAATTTGCAAGCAACAAAAGATACTTTTGAAAAATCAATAATAAGAGCAACTCTAGTCAAAGGAATAATTTCCACCTTGATGTATCCAACTGATCATTGATACAAAGATTAACTCAACAAATGATGAATATATTAGTTATCGTTGTTGGAACCTCCTAACAACTCAGTCTTTTTATTTAACTACCAGTGACTAAGAAACCTTCATTAATCACTCTATAGCCAAAAAAACACTACCTGGAACCTCCTAGCATTTAGTTTTTGACAAGCAAAGACCTAATTCAATTTCTAACAAACAAACCTTGTTTCATTAAAAATTGATTATTTATTCTCACAACACAAGTAAACTACTTACCAAGTAATTATTTGCATTGTCTCTTCTAAGGAACAAACAAACCTTGTTGTTCAATAAATTAGATTATCTAGGAGAATTGAATGCTAACAGCTATTCAAATAATGCCAAATAATCATCAATACACATCAAAGAGAATAAATAAATACTCAAAATTCGTTGGTGAAAAGCAAACAATTAGATCTCACAATTGAATAACATCAAGACTTCAATAAAATTCTTTAACTAGAAAAGAGGTTTAGTTGTTAATCATGGTGAAATCAACAACACAAGAATTGATGTTTGACATTACAGAGCTAAAACTGACGAAAACGGAGAGAAATCCTTGTCCTGAGCTCCAGCCGTCGCTCCCTGTGTTGTGCCCCTTCTCCTCCCTTTCTTAATAATAAGAAAAAGACTATTTATATGCAAATTTAGGGCATCCCCACGTTCAGCCCGTTCAGAAATCGCAGGAACCAATTAAATTTTTCAGAATTTGCAAATTGGTCCCTGAATTTTTCAAAATTACAAATTGATCCCAAAATTTTGGAAATTTGGCACTTTAGTCCCTGTTTCAGTGTGCCCACGTGGAAATATAACATTGTTGCTGGAATTTCCTACTTCCTTCATTGATTTTAGCATGGATTTTGTGTGCCCACGCGGGAATCAACCACTTCTTCTCCAACTTGAAACTTGATTCAAGAAAACCTTCAAAATCTCTTCAAAATCAACACTTTTCTTCTTTTTATTCCAAATCCTTTCTATGATCAAATTAAGAACCAAAGCACTAATATTAGTATAGATAATATTCAAAACAACACATAAACCACCACAAATATCATGCCATATTAACATTATCATCCATGCACTAGAATGGAGCTGAAGGCAGTGGGGGATTGAAACATGAGGAATCTCAGAAGAGGAGATATAGTGCAGCTAGAAAGAAAGGGTTACTTCATATGCGACGTTCCTTTCATTAGGCCTTCAAAACCAATGGTTCTGTTTGCTATCCCGGATGGCAAGCAGAATACACAATTGAAGTTCTGCAACAAATGATTAAAGTGTATTAGATAGTTAAGATTAATTTAGTCTTTCTGCCTGCCTCTTATCTTGTAGTGTGAAAAAAGACAAAGATTAGTGTATTATGAAACGGAATGTGTGTGTAGTTATTTCCTAATTGAAGCTTGTAACATACATTATGAAACGGAATGTGTGTAGTTATTTGATTTCTTTCTTTTCTTGTATGTATATACATAGTACATGCTCCAGTGTTGAATGAAGCTCCAGTTTTTGTACCTTTTATTGATGCATGAAACGTTGGCTTTACTGCTGACATTTAGAAGTTAGTCTCCAAAGAATTTATCATAAATGAGCTACGGCTGATTCTATTCGTCCTATTTTAATACTATCTCCGTCCCAAAAAAATAGAAGGGAGTAGTACATATATAGTTAAATAGTAATACCAGATTACTAAAAAAAGACGAAAAAGTATCAAAGAAAGATAATGAAGCGATTTTTATGTCTAATCTAATTAATGCATAAAATGTGGGGGAACACTATATGTAGCAGCACCGACGGATGAAGGATGATCTGCGCCGACGGAAGCAAGGGAATCCTTCCTTTCTCGTAAATCTAAAATTGTTTTGAAGTATTTTCGAACCACCATTACTTTTTTGGTCATCAATTTCCCTTTTGGAATAAAACAGGACAACCGATTTTCCACAAAACAAAGCACAACCAACACAAGAATCCAACAAGCCACAAGAATTCAGGCTGCTTCTTATAAAATAAAACTCGGGCACCTGTCGATCCAATCAAAACAATTGAGTGTGTTCTTTTGTTCGTGTTAGAAGAAACAGATGATTCTCAATCGATCAATCGAAAACCTTTCTCTCATTGTCTTCAAGCAGTGTACATACGCAACAATACCTGATTACCCTTTTTTTCTGAAATGATAATCTGACGTTGTAATCCAAAACTTGATGAGCTTAATTTTAGTCCCAATCTCAAACACTTGTTTTGTTTTAGTCTCAAAGTAATACTAAAACGGAAAAAAAAAAAAATTGTCCCTAAAGAGGTTAGTTTAACTCCTTTCATCCGCGTCTCTCTGGAATTTACACCAAAACCAGCCCCTCCAGTTTAATTCTAAACATTATACAAAACATTATTTTAGTATAATGTGACAGGATTTAATTTGCATGACATCGCTAGTCATCTATTACAGGTTTTTCTGCTTAATCTTTTTAAGTTTTAGTTCGTGACGCTATTTTTTTCGTTAACATAAGGGCTAGTGTTAATTTACCCAACAATTAATCGTCAATTACATGTCTATTGTGAGTTAAATTTGTTAGGTCCAAAGATTTTTTTTATCAAAATGTGTGTGTGTGGATCAACAGTCAATTACGGCTTCTTATAACTTAACTCTCTTAAAATTAGTGATATATGCTATTATTTTTAACGTGAGACGGACGATAATGTTAATTTACATTGGAGTTTTTATTGTTTATAGGGTTTGTAACACTATATGTATGAAGAACTTTTACGAGCTAACAGTGAACGGTTGAGAGCCAATTCGATTCTAGCAATATCATCACCTCTTTTGTTGTTGTTGTTGTTGTTATTATGCTTATTCTTTTGAATTGAATTTGATTTCAACAATGGGAAAGTGTTTAATGACGTAAAGAAATTTTTTTTTCTCCCCTTTCTCTTATTTCCTTCCCAGTCCAGCTTCGAAAGTCAACATATAGTTGGGCCAGCCCATCAAAGCAGTGGGTCCATGATCCTCAAACTGCGGGAGGGAACCCTCTAATTTTAAGGCTACCTCAGCCTAATAGCTCTCGCAGTCCCAGATTCCATTCCAGAGCTACTTTCTCCAACATTTCTTCTTGTTCACAGTCTCTTTTCATATCGGAAGGTTGACGACTTTAACTTGACGTACAAGTTTTGATAAATTAAATTCAAAATAATACTCTCTCTGTTCCAAATTTATTGTCCAATTTGATATTTCATTTTTAATACAATTTAAACTAAAAATGAAAATATAAACCGGACATTAATTATGGAACGGAGAGTGTAATTATGAGACGCCAGATATTTGATGCATGTATGTTTGCTTATTTATCAACTGTAATTTTTTTATTTGGTAAATAGGTATTTTTGTATGGAAATCGTCCACTTACATAAATGACACATAACATCAGATGGTACCGATCAAATGGTGGTACTGGTACATTATCATTACCATTCTTTGCTAATGCGAAGAATTCATGGGCTTGTTTTCATTATTTAAGACTCCAAAAAATGTCCTATAGAAAATAAACTCAAAATCATATGAAACTTTTCCAAAGATTATTTTCTACCTGCTAGAACATGTCTTAAGACCTCGAACCAACACTTATCAACGGTTAATAGTGTATATAATTAGTACTCCGTCTCAAAATAAAAAATAAAAAATAATTTTAACTTGTTAAATTAAAATAGTACGATAAATTGAATTATTTTTTTGAAACAAAAAAATTTTTAAAATTGAAAATCTGGTAGGAATGCTAGTTGGACATGAAATTTCTGACATTTGACAAGTTACATAATAGTATTACACCGAACAGAAAATTAAGATAAAAAGTAATATTAGTCTCCCCCCCATCGAGACTCCAATGGGCACAAAATATTACAAATACACCTCTTTTTAGTTTTCTTCTTCTTCTTCTTCTCTCGCTCTCCCTTTTTTTTTTTTTTTTTTGGGATGATTCACAAATTAATACATAGAATTAACTAGAAAGAAAAAAAATTACAATTTTGGGAAATAAACAAAATCTGAAATTTTCGATCTTATTTTCACTCCTGTGTTTCCAGAAGTTGGGAGATTTTTCACACGAGTGGCTTGCACGTTGATGTCTTTGGGTCCCACATAGCTGGCAGCAGATATTCGCGGCTCCTAACGCCGCGGGCATTATAGCTTGCACCCGTTTTCTTATCTTTCAAAACGGTACCCGGATAACCGGGGAAAGCCCCGGATCCAAATATACCCGTACAAGCCGTGACGGCCTCTAATGGAGCGGTAGACGGGCCCTGGTAGTAACCTTGATCAAACGGGTTGGTAACGGTCCCGGCCAAAACCGTCGCGATGTTGATGATCATTCCGTCGATACCAACGTCACGGTTTGGCGCCACTAACGGCGGGGTTTGCGGGCCGACGATGGGACGGTGGAAAGGCCAGGCGCACTGATCCGGGCACTGAGGAAGCGAATTACCCACCCAAGCGTACGGGAACTTACCCGTTTTCCCACGGGTCCACCCGTGGGTCCCGCACCGGTTCATGCAGAAGTCGTAGACCGACACGTCGGATGCCGTTAAGATGAAGTTAATGGTATTGACGTGACTATATTTAGAGGCCAAGGCTTCAAGCTTAGCGTCGTTCAACGACTTTCCGAGCGTGTAATTCAACGAAATTTGTTTGCCTAAGGAGATGATCACCGGACGGCCGGAGTACTTCTGGGTGGTGCTCCACCACGACGCGACGGTGGGTTCCGGCTGCCGGCCGTAGGTTTTCTGGCTGAGGGATCGGATGAAGTCCACCACTATGGCACGTTGGGTGGGTGTGAATTTCCCGTACCAAATTAGATTAACTGTTACATTGCCAAACAGAAGTTGACCTTTGTGGTACTTTAACACGGTGGCTGGTGGCTGAACCAAAGCTAGCTTTCTTGTGAATGCTGATTGTGAACTTGGCAAAACTGCTAGGATTGTTACAAGAAACGAACAAATGGTGAACCAAAAACGGGTATTGGGAAACATTTCTCGAGAAGAAAAATGGGTTTTTTTTTTTTAATGGAATTTTAGGATAGAGATTTTTGAGAGTTGAGTTTGGAAAAGTCCATTGGTGAATGTGGAAAGCGAATGTATTTATAGGGGAAGAGTTTCATAAGTGTTTGTTGCGTTCGTGTGGACATGTTAGGGTTAGTGATGGCCATGTAGTCATAACCATTAATTGGAAGTAATTAGAGGGGCAACGCGTGAAAGGAAAGGGGATTTTATCAAATTAAATTTAAAAAGGCTAATGTGATTAAAGTAATTAATTAATAGAAATTGGTATGGATGATGATAAGAAGAGAGAGTATGATAGTAGTAGTAATGGAATGGGTTAGGCAGGGTTATGATTAGATGACGTGATTTTTTCCATACCATAAAAATTAAAAGTACGACGAGAGTCGACGACCCTATAATTTTAAAGGAAAAGTTGTTAGATTTGTGTTTGTTTTTTTGTGGCAATTGGGCTGGTAACGTTTTATTTTAAATTGAATCATGAATAATGATCATATATTAATCTTAATTATGCCAAAGGAACTGAAAGGGAGTATTCCTTTTGGTCAGATAACTCAGATTTTTTATACATTTTCTTTCGTTTTCTCGAGTTGAAGGCTTTAATAGTAGGGAGCAGCTAATCGCCAGCTGGAATTGCAATTAGTTAGATTAATTCATTTGCCCAATTGCTTAGGGAATAGGAGGAACATTCTATACGTGGTCATTAGCCTTTTCTTTTTGTTAGCTTTTGCTTCAGATTATATTTGAGAGGTTTTTCTTTTCCATTAAACAACTGAAAGAGCGATATTCATTCCGTCTTTAAAAAAAAGTCGTGTTTATTGAATAAAAATAGTGTGACATGCGAGACTTTAGAAGGATTATGCTTTGGTCCTACACTAATTAATATAATCTTTGATGGCTTTCTCTTTGGTTTGTAATGATGATAACAAGTTTACTGGACTCAACTAAGCTAAGGTAGCCATGTTTTTTTAAAAGAACAAAATTTCTAGTTCTACCTACAACATTCACGCCGGGCAGCTGGAGCTTAATTTATTTGCTCCTTTGGGTATTGAGGAATAAAACACAAACAGAAAAAAACAGGCATTAGATTCACACGAGAAAAAAGGGGTACGAAACAAAATGCAAAATTCAAGCAGCAAAAGTAGAAGTTTGTGTACATTTTAGTAGATTGCTGGGGACCGTAGGCGCCGTTTGCACTGATTTGAAATTTCCTAAATATATATAGTACTATAACCCAATGTCTCCCTCCGAGATTGAAGTTCAAAAGATTGGTTGGAAAGCTTTGAAGTCAAACGTAAGCGACACTCCAGTTAATAAAGATGATCGTATAGAAGCCGCGTTAACTTTTGATTGCATAGTATCTTTGTGTGTGAAGTTGTTGCTTCGACCAATATCATACTACCCGGTTAATTCCAATTCCAAACCTCAAAGATTTTGAGATCATTATTTGAGTACTGACTGAATTAGGGCCTTTTGAAGGTATAATTAAACTAATCAAAATGTATTTACCACATGTATCAAGTGTACGATTTGTTGGTAGTTCTTTCTTACTTTATTTTATGAAAGATAGCTAGAAAGGAAGAACTAAATCGTGGGGTTTGCTCTCGTATGTATTGTTTTCTGAAAACTCTTTAATTTTTTCCATGACAACAAATTAACCAGGGCTGTTATGTTGAATAACATATCATCAAGATGCATTCTTATGAGGTTTCTTACCTTTTCTTTTTGGCAAAATTCTTACTAGGGTACTGCGGAGTTCATAATTCTTTATTGGAATATCTATTTTTTTAAAGTCCTTTTTAACGGTGTATGATGACATGAATGATATTTCATGACTATTTTATCATTGATTTAATTAAGGTCATTTAGTCATTAACGCTAACTTTCTAGTCATTAGTTCTCCCTCTTCATCTCTAAGGATTGGGGGTCTCCTCTACATCAATCAATTTCTTAAAACCCTCTTCTTCATTTCTCAACAATTAATTGGAGAAGAACGATACCTTCATTCCACTTATTTTACTATTTTACTTTTATGAAGGTAAATTATATGGCAATGTGATCAGTCAGATAAAATGTGGCCAGATATTTTTAGATTGATCATTAGACGCCTTCTTCCTCTAGGAAATTATTCTATTGTGATTAATTTACAACAAGTTAGAAGCACTGATCAGCTAGGTTGAGGGATTTTTTTGAGACTTTTGCAACAAATTATTCTTTCTTTATTTAGGTCCGATGATATTTTTATTCGTATGTTTTGAATAGCAATCTACTTTTCCATTGATGGTTAATTACCTTCATCAAACGTTATCTCCCTCTTTTTCTTTGTTGTTAGGATGGCGAATTCAAAAATTTCTTTTTTTCGCTATTGTCAATAGGGCTGAGAAAATGAGGCTAATGGTTTTGTATTTTAGGAGCCCTTTTGATTTCAGCGGAAGGACCGGATAAATGCAAGGGAGAGAAACAAATAGATAGGAAATTAATTCAAAGAAAAATTAACTTTTTTTTTATATTACGCACTCACTGTCTGAAATTATTGCTCCGACTAATCCGGATTCGTGCCGGATAAGTCTTTCTCAAGGAGCAAAGAAAAATTATTTTAATTATAAGAAAGATATAATAGTCATGAAATAACATTCATATCATAATACGCCTTTGAAAGGAATTTTAAGAGAAGACATCTCAATAACAAAATTATATATTCTATATTGTCCCTAACTAGATGTTTGGCTCGGGAGAATGGTCAAACAACCGCTTGTATTTTAAGTCAATTAATGAAAGTAAATATTACCAACGGATGTGGTAAAACCCTGCTTGTATCATAATATAGTTGTTGATGTCGATCTATAGTGATTTAATCTATTAGGCAATTGCCTCCTCATATTGTACCAAAAAAAAAAAAAAAAAAGATTTGTAACTCAAATATAATACACAGATAATATTATCATAATAGTTATAGTACTAATAACAATACATCTTTTTATATTTTCAATACAACCACACCTAAAAATACACACATTAACTTGATTTCCGCCCTGGATTGGCATGTTTGCTCAAAGGCAAGTACAGTTTCAAGCTATTACTACAGCCTGACATTAATTAACACACTCCAATCGAATTGATATCTGAAGCAATACCATGCATTGTTTTTATATCAAAAAAAATGTTAAGGCCTATATTTAAACAAACGAATTGGAATGAGCAGCTGAAGACGGAAGAACATTGTCGTATAATGATTTTGCATTGGAAGAATTCCAACTATGCAGCAAAATTGTAAATTGCATATCAAATTCAGCAGAGATTCACATTATTTCGCACAAAATCTATAGAATCAAATTTGAATTTATTGTCTTTTAGATTTGCGAATCAGAAAATAGGTACTACATGACACACCTATCTTTTGAGGTTGTGCCGGTGACGGAGCTTCTTTTTCCCACATGTTACCTCGTTTATTGAAGCTTGCTTCAAAGTAGCCAAAATTCAGATCAGGATTTGGAGGATTCTTTTTCTAACAAATATCAAAACCAACATGTAAGAAATTGGTAACACCTCACTATGGAGTCCATGTTTCAGAAGATCCAACAGGAAATTAAATGGGATCATGTTATACGAAGGTGAATGCAAGGGATTGTAGATTTATGCAAGACTTGAAACCAGTAGACTAGATTGTTATTTTGGTACCGTTCTGCTTTGTCAATTGTAAGGTTAATTTAGGACATGTTTGATAGTACAACTTAATGCTTAAAATCATTTCATTAAATACATTTTCATTTCAACTTGTTTGGTAACAAAAAATAAACCTCTTAATCAATTAAGTAGTGCTTAAACTGCAGTACAAAATATAAGTAATAAAAATTAGTTTATTACTTATTCTGTAATTGTTTCATGAATTCAGTATTTATAATTCAGATTAAATATTCAGAATTAAGCACTAATTTTTATCAACTAGCCAGAAGGAGTCTATTGGTATATGAAATGTATAGGTTGATAAGGTAGATGAGTAGTGTTTATTTCCAGTTCTGGACCTTTTAAGCGGAGCTGATGTGTATCATTTGTGAACTTATTTCCCGATGAGCTATAAATGTTTACCATTTACCTTTAAAAAAATGAAAGGTAGAAAAGGAATATCCGTCAAGAGGTAAAAATGCAAGATAATTTAAGGAGAAGAAAAATTGGGAACAATTGGGAGAAGCAGACGTTGGGCTAAGGAGATATTGAAAGAAAGAGAAGGTGAAGTATTGCATAGTTATTGGGCCATGAGTTGTGACTTGTGGAATGTCACGACCCGTGGGGCCTAACAGGTAGCCGGAAGGCAGCAAACGAAGAATTAAACGAAGATCGGAGGGAATTAGGGTTACGGGAATAGAAGAACGAAGAAGAATGGGAAAAACTGAAATTTCAGTTTAATACATAAGTTTTGATAATTAATTTACAAACCTAGCAAGATATTTATAGTCCAACCTACTTTCTAAAAAGCTATTTCAGCCCCTAAACTTTCTACTTCCTACGATTATGTCCCAGGGGCGTGACAAACCCCTCCCCTTAAAACAGTCTTGTCCCCAAGACTGTGTTTCAACAGAAAACAAACTACCAAATAAAACTTCAAATAACTGCGTAACTGACGATAAAACTAGCATCACATACTAACAGTCAAAACTGAAAATGAAAAGACTGAACAGAAGCAAAAGCTACAGAAGGATAACCAATCAGCGATTAATTCTTTGCAACCATTCCCAGCAATGCTAACTTCTGAATTCCTTGCAAGCTAGATGCCAAGTAAAGTTTTGGTCAATGCTTACAGCCCTTGTTGCGATCCTGCCTTCAAAAAATCTTTGTACCTCCCCGAAAAGTTGTCACCCTTCCAGTCCAGCTAAGGTGCGAGTATTCCATGCTTCATTAGAGCTCGATCCTGTTTCTGCTTTAAAGAGAATGGTTTGAGCTCCATTTGTCCAGCTTCCCTTGTCAAAGTTCCTATTCCATGCATCCAAAGCAGCTCTAGACTAGCTTTGTATGTAATTAATCTTAGCCACCATTTCCAAGATATTAACCGACACCATATCTTCACAAGTATCTTCCTGAAGGAGTATTTTCACAATAAATTCTGCAATAATTTGTACGCGGTGAAGTAAAAACCTGAATAAGAAACCTGTAGTAGCTAACTTGATGCAAACCCAGCAATACTTGCATTCTGTTTGAGTGCTGATTGCTGCTCCTTTGTTTAAAGTCACTGTACCACCTTTAAACTTGGTAAAACTTTTGTCCCAAACAAGAGAGAAGTGTGCATGTATATAACACTTCTTTGATCCACAGGAACTTGCTTCAAACTGTTGAGTTTTTCCAGTAACAACTTTAGTTTTATAGAACCTAACAGCAGTAAGGAACTGGCCAATTGTAGAACTTCCAGTAACTAACTCACATGCTTCAGATTCACCAGGATCAATAGCAACATCTAGCAGCTTAAGGTAAAGTTTTGTATTGTTGCGACAGTTCAGACCATCACAACTATCATTTAGATTCACCGGGAACACATTCAAAATCAGGGGCAATGTTTCAGCAGAAACTTCAGGCACAAACTTATCATCAACAACATGTAAGATCACATAATCTTTGATCAGTTCATCCTTTTCATTGTCGTAATAGAACCAACAGATGTCATAACTTCACCAATCAAACCCAGTCTATCAGCAAAAATCTCATTCAAAGAACAGTCATCTAAACTCAATTCACCAATACGATTTTCACAAACAACTATTCCGGATTCAGATTCTTCATTTCTCAACATTTCAAGCTCAACCTGGTCACCATTTAACTCATACTGTAGTGCTGAATTAACTTCAGTAACCCGAGGAAGTTCATTGGTGATATCAGCAGGAGGATTCTCAGAGAATAAATTTACAGTATCATTCAAATATCCCAATTCAGTTGCTGTAAAAGTAGTTTGCCTGACTAACTCTTTTAGGTTTTGAAAACCATCACCAGGGTCAAAAACAAAACTACTATTTTTTCAGTTACAAGGCTCTGCAATTCAGCACTTACGGGTATCGTTCTCTCATCTACTTCAAAATCAAACAGTCAGGGTCATTGGCTTTATAAACAGATAGACCACTCGACTCATCATTTCTCACCATTTCAAATTCATCATAATCACCTTTTAGCTTATAATTTAGAGCGAAATTAACTTCAGTAAACAAAAGAAATTCACATGTGATATCAGCAGGAGTATTTTGAAAGAGCAGCTTCAAAGTATCATTCAAATACCCAACTTCAGCTACAACTTCATTAATATAAGACATAACAACTCGTACCTCTTCTCCGGCTAAAATAAGGCTTGACCTCAAGCCTTTATGGTGGCAAACAACTTCTGTATTTTCCACTAAACTGGTAGTACCTCCTTTAAAACCGCTTAGCAGTAGTTCAAACTCTCCAAAAGTCAGTGGATTAGCACTATCATTTACACAACTGACCAAGATAGCATCAAAATTATGACAGGAATCCAATCCATTCTCAACAGGAAACAACTTAGAGCTGTCACCAATATCAAGAAAACCCTTAGCACTGGAGAGATGTACTAGCTCTCCAGGATCAATAGTAAAAAGACTTGGACGATTTCCTTTTCTAACAGAACAGAGCGACTCAGAATCATCTTCGAAATTTAACCACGAATAGTAGGCAATCATAATACAGTTACACATGTACTCCCATTTAACCCCAGCATCAACAATATTCACCAGATTATCTTCTATGTCTTCATTAATAAGCAACAGGGAAGTGACCATCACAGCATTTTTTAAAGCATCCTCAGTAAAGAGTTCTTTTAATTTTTTCATCCTAAAATCAGAACCACATCCACCATCAAACCAGTCCCCTAAACTCTGACAAACATTGTTCTCTTCATTCAAAGTCTTTGTAAACACTTAGCATATTATCAATAGTTCCTCCCTTAAAACATGTAAACATTTCAGCCCAAACTTTTGAATCACTCTTTACAGCAAGGAATTTATCAAGAGGTTCAAAGATAACAATCATGCAGATAGGATATGCAGGCCAAATAGCAACATTATTATGACAATCTAAATCCATATTATCATCAGTCCTATGACCAACACTCAAATTATTCAACAACAGAGAAACAACACTCAAAACACCTTCTTCACCTGTTTCCTCCTTAGCATTCACTATCACAGTCTTTTTAACAACATCAACCAAAAACTCACAAACACATGCCGATTCACTAACAACATTACTCAAATCATCAAAAAGACCCTCCAATCCTCCCGGATCAACTTGAAATGAGTAAGGGCCAAATCCACCGTTCCAGGAATGATTTAAACCAACAATTAGTGCAACACATTCATCATTAACTTCCTTTAAACCCACAGAATCATCTAAAATCCTTTCAACATCATGACTGAAATCAAATTTAATCATCGCAGTCTCAATATTCGAATCTTTGGACATCAAAGAATTGACAGTCACATGAGTCACAATACCAACATTCAAAATGTTAAGCAAATCAGTATCATTCGACAATAGAGAAACATCATCGACAATCAAACATTAATCATCACTGTAATGCAAACTTTCAACAGCAGTACTCTTTTTGTCCAAAATTAAATTATCATCAACACTCAACTCAGTTTCATACGAGTTACCATTCTCATCAAGGGTTTCAGAAGGGCTGTCATCAGGTGAACCATCCTCAACTCCTGGTGTGTCCTCCTCTGTTGACGTCGCCTGGAATTCCACCAACATTTCGCCATCAACTTCTTCTGAAGCTACTTTACACCCTATGCAATCTTCCACTGATGGTTGTCGTTCTTCCTCAACTGAGAATTCCCTAGGTTCTGTGGTTGGAACATCTTCAACTGACGCCTCCCAAACATTAATCCTCACTGTCGGCCAAATATAACGTCCAAATCAGTGCTCCAACTTTTCGGCAAATTCCTCCCAATTCGTCAATTGGGAAGAACAAAGCAAGCCGTACAAAAATTGCAACGGTTCACCAGTTAAATTGAATTCCGCCACAAATAATTTCATATCTGGCCGAATGAAATTATAGGAGAAGAACTGCTCCATTCGGTCAGTCCAATCCATGACATCTTCGCAGGAAAAGAGAGGGATTCCGGACTGTGAAGGCTCAGGAAAGTTGAATCTCGTCGGATTTGGTGGAAGGATCTGGGATAGGGGAAAGCTTTAATTCATTCTGAACCCTAATTCGGGTTTTGTTTGAAATGAAGAATTCCATTGATGATAAAATGATCGGGACAAAGTAAAAAGCATGGAGCGAACCACAGAAATGGAGAATTTCGCTCAAATTTCAGAAATAGGAAGGTAGAAATGGAGTTCAGAGTTCAGGAGGTTGAGAAGCAGCAGGGGAAGAAGAGAGTGAACGAATCTGTGCAATCGATATAGAGACGGCCGAGGAAGGACCGCTCTGATACCAAATGTCACGACCCGGGGGCCCTGAGAGGTGGCCGTAAGGCAGCAAACAGAGAATTAGATGGAGATCGGAGGGATTTAGAGTCACAGGAATAGGGAAAAACTGAAATTTCAGTTTAATACATAAGTTCTGATAATTAATTTACAGACCTAGCAAGATATTTAAAGTCCAGCCTACTTTCTAAAATGCTATTTCAGCCCCTACACTTTCTACTTCCTACGATTATGTCCAAGAGGCGTGACATGGAGTTGTGGGTGATAAATTTTGACCCAGACCAAAGCCCATAACCCCGCCTATTTGACAGCCTACTATAGTATCACAGAGGCTATTTCTGCTCATCTTTCCTTTATCTCCACTAATTTGTACAATTTCCAGAAAAAAACACCACTAATTTGTACGATAAAAATTTTCTAAACCCGGGGTCAATTGTTCTTTCTTCTGTATGACTAATAGCAACATCGAATCCTTGCAAGGTATGATCCTCAGTATTTGCAAACTCCTTGTCACGATAAGGTTTGTGGCCGGCTAATTTGTTAAGGGTTTAGTTGCTAACTTTTTTTTGTTTGCACCCATATGAATTATGAAGGATGTCATCCGATGGATTGGATGAGTCTGGAGTTATGGTAATTCAGAGGGAGGATTTGGTTGAGTTCACGGACTATTTAAGTTCCGAAAATGTGATTTGCAAGGCTCAATTTTGCAAGCTTTATCGTGGTAAGATTCCTCAAGGCTGGAACGGGCTTGAAGGCGGAGATGTGACAGTGAAGGCGTGGGAGAAGGAAGCGGCCGAGTCTAGAAGCCCCGGTTTTGCCAGGTATTACGACGAACTTGTGGACAATTTCGACTTCGAGATAGCTTTTCTCAAGTCTCGTAAAGCCACTTCGTGTTCCTCCAACTTGCCGAGGTTAATTGCATATGCCCGTTGTGATGACCATGAGTTCTTGGGTGTTGTGTATATGATTTTCAGTCACGGAATACATTGCGCAACTTCTGGTGTGTTTGCGCAATTTTTTTCCACAGGTTGGAATGGAGAATATGCTGATGTGTTTGCTTTTGGTGTCATACTCTGTGAGCTTCTGTATAAACGTAAGGTTGATCAGACACCACCTCCTAATGGAGATTTGTTCTTGTACATGGAAGTTCTGAAGGCTTTTCCCATGGAAAAATCAAAAGTTAAAAGTCTTTTCGGGAAAAAGAGGGAATTTTCCTTTGTTGACCGAAGTTTTGAAAAAGATCCTTATTTTAATGCTCTTGATGGACCCAAAATCTCCAAGTTGGCAAGGCTGTGCTTGGATCTTGATCTGGAAACCTGCCCGAATATGCAGAAAGTGGTGAAGTGTTTGGAGAAGCTCCATATTGGGAGAGATAATGTTAAAATGTTCACTGCTTTTAGATACTAATCTTGGAGTTACTGGCTGTAAAAACTGCAACATCTGCTAACTTGGTTTTTTGCCCCTAATTACAATGCATTTGATCCATCCTCAGTCTGTATTCTTAAGAAACCAAATATTTGCAAGTCTTTGAGAATGCTGGATTGGCAGGCTTGCCCGAAGGCAAATTACAGTTTCAAGCTAATACTAAATCGAATCGAATTGCTATCTGAATCAATACCATGCATTTTAACTAAATAAAAATGTTAAGGCCTACTTTTATAGCAGACGAATTGGCATGTGAAAATGTGAATTCCATTTTATTGTCCGCAAAGGTAATAATCGCAGACATAATATCAGTATTACGCTGAAAGAACATCATATAGAACCAGAAAATACTTCTCAACTCCAACTTGGTTCGATCCAAGCACATTCCAAATACATGCTTGTTTGATTAAAATTCTGCAGCTCGTGTTGTCCACTCGCAGAATGACATCTTCTGGTATCCAGAGAATAATAAACCAACTCATTTCTGTAGAATTTGGGAAAATAGATTCTGTTTGCTAAATCTGGTCTTGGTGCAAGAAAAGAGATGGATGAAGACCAGTTCACATACAAAGAGTAGCCTCCCAAAGAATGTATTTCTTCCCATTTCCTCTGATCACCTTTCAGCTTAAAAACCCGGACCCATAATCTGTTGGTTTCATCGTCGAAGTATGGATACAAGCTCCCCCTTGCACTCTGACAGATAGCTGTTCCTAAAATTTGTGACTGGAAGTTTGAGGTCCTCAGACATTTCCCAATGGAATATGGATTCCGCGTCTTGAGTACTAAATTTCCCGCGTCCAAGCATCCCATCCTCTCCCAAATAGTAACAAAATTCTCCCACGACTACTGGACTGACTAGCCATAGATTGTATGAAAGGTCGTTCCAGGCCTTGTTGTCCCACCACAAATGTCCACCATTCGGCTTCTGCTTCTCCTTCTTTTCAAGCGCGTTTAACAAAGTGCGACGTTCCAATCCATTCCCTCAGGGACATTGCCAGGATTGCACAACCAGATGAAGATAGTTTCTCTATGCATGTAAAGTTGATAGGCTGATACAGCTCTGGATTATGTCCGGCGAAGATTACTTGCATTGTGAATGGATTAAAGAATGCGTAATCTTTCTTTTCCCCTGACATATTCCAGGAATAGCCATCCATGTCTGGAGCAGCAAATCACATAGCCATTGAGGACCTCAGGAATCTTAATGGACACTTTTTGGTTAAGGTTGGAATCTACAATATTGAAGACACCATTAACTTTATCCCTGTATATCAATGGAGGGAAGGGATTCAACCTCATCCGAATAGTGCCAGAGGCGCAATGTTTGTTGACACAACGAAAATGCATGTAATCAATGAAAGACAGATTCCCCGCGATCAAACCTAGGATCTCTCGCGATAGGTCACAGATTGAAGAAGATGAATCATATTTCTGCATGGTATCAATGTTATGAAGATCATCATCAACGAGCAATGGCTGCAGGGCAGGCATGATCCAATAAGAAATCCTTTGTTCTTGGGAAATCCTTGGGGAAAGGAAGTATGCTGTGACTTTTTCATCCTCGACTCTATTGGAGCACAAGGCTTCATCATTTTCAAGGTTGTAATATAAGTAACTCCATTTATCATTTTTCGTGCCAACAACATCTGCAGATGTGCCATGATGGATGGTGTAGCTGCTGTAGAGGGAATATGCATCGCCCAAAAAAACTGTCCCTCCATTCAAACTCGTCACTTTTTCCCAGTTATTTGTGGAGAAATCGAATAGGTAAATGGAAGTTGATCTGAAGTGCATTGAGATTTCAGGATTATCAGATACAAAGAAGAGTACCAACATCCGGGGGTTGTCGGAATCGGACACCAATCCATGAGAAATCGAAAGAAGATTACCGTCCCGAGGATCTGGTATGGTAGGTAGCTGAATTGACTTCCCAGTTGGAGGACTCCACAGCAACATTCCCGGGTAATGATTCTGTAGCAAAAGCAACCAGTTTCCATCGGGGGAAAAATACAAAATCTTTGCGCCACGGAATTCAGGAATACTCTTCTCGTAAATTATTGCTGATGATCCCGAAGAAGATGGATTAATCTCACAAAAGGTTTGATTTTGGCGAGTTTGCCCATGAAAATAGACGAACCATGGATGATGACATTCTGATTGGAGTTTTCCCGGCGACGGAAAGGTGGTTCTGTTGTTGTTTCCTTGGAATCCCTTTAAACATCTGGAAATAGATTGTAATATTCCTCCAAGTGGTATCATTTCTGCAGAATCGATCGATGGAAGAGGAAGCTAAACCAATCAAGCGGCGGCGGACGGCGGGCTAATGTAAAATTAGCGCATGGAAGTGAATTAGGTCATTTATCTTAGGGCTATTTGTTCCAGGACGCCAAATCTCTAGATAGACAATTAAATGTAATTTAACCTGTCGACAAGTTTTTGTGGTAGTTCAAATTGTTATGATCTCATCCCAAATTTTGCTGAATCATGTAATAAAAAAACCCAGTTCACAGCAAAATGGAAAAAATGAACTTCTGGTATAACAGGATCAATCAAACATAATTCAGAAATGAAAATGTGATGAACTGTTTTTCCTTTGAATAATCATTAGTATTGATAATAAAGAATGAAAGAATGAATGAATTTTTAACTGGAAACTGAGGACTACAATTCCATGTACTAATAACTTTGTCTCTCTATACAGTGGTAACCCAAATGAATTTTTAGACCAATGTCGAACAAGTTGCAGTTGAAGGATCGATCAACGCCGGCAAGAGATACTTCCTCCCGTTACCACCAACTGCATTGTAGCTTCCGCCAGTGGTTGGATCTACAAGCAGGTTTCCTGCATTTCCAGGGTAAGCTCCACTACCATAAATCCCCTGACAAGCGGTGGCAGCCTCCAGAGGCGCGGTGGCCGGACCCTGAAAGTAGCCGTTTCCGAATGGGTTGGTCGCCGTTCCGGCCAAAAGGGTAGCAATATTGATGATCATCCCATCAATTCCGACATTGTTGTTTGGTGCAACCAAAGGCGGATTTTGAGGTCCATAGGTAGGCTGGTGGAATGGCCAGGCGCATTTACCTGGGCATTGGGTTGCTGAATTCCCAACCCAAATGTAAGCAAACTTGTAAATCTTGCCCTTTGGAGTGGCGGATTTGGAGCTCAGCAATGAACCATGGCTGCCGCAAGTGCTTGAACAGAACCTAGCCGGGGTCACATCTGCAGCAGTCAAGACAATGTTAATGGCATTCCTTTGCGGACCCTTGGCTGCCAACTGTTTGATATTTTGCTCAGTGAGAATTTTGCCCAAAGAATAGCTCTCATCAATGATTTGGGTACCCAATGAGAGGACTAAAGGGGAGCCTCTCTTGGATTTCACCAAGTTGAAGTATTTCTCAGTCGATTTCCACCATGTGGCGACAGAGGGTTGGTTTTTGGTAGTGGTGGGATTTGAGGTGGAAGATAAGGAGGTAATGAAATCTGCAACAATGGATCTTTCTGAAGAAGTGAATTTGCCATACCAAATCAAATTGAGAGAGATTTTACCGCTGAGAAGAGGGCCATTGTGGTATTGAAAGAGCATGTTTTTATCATCAACTTGAGATGATGATGATTTTGGGAGTTCCCTAGCTGCCATTGTGAAATGGACTAAAGAAACAAGCAAAGCAATTTGAAGAACTAAAACTTTGGAAAAAGCCATTTTTCTTAATGGTTTTTTGAATACTGTAATTATAAAAGCTTAGAAGTGAGACCAAAACTGGGATTTTTGGATACTGGATGATTTTGAGATGCGAAGAATTGGTCATTGTGGTTGGTTTATATAGGGGGGGAGGAGAAATGTGGCTTCTTTAGTTTAGGTGGGTGAGTTTGGACACTGGGACAAGGTAGAAGCTGGGAGGAAAGTGCAAAAGGGTACAACAAGATACAGCTGCATTTTTTGGTCATATGAAACCGTGTTGGTGATTGGGAGTTGGGGGCTCTCTCAAATGGGCTAAAAAGAGAATCTTTTTACACTGAGATAACAGCGTTATTACAGCTTGAGGGGCAAATTGGCAAGTGACTTGGGGGGGGAGACAGGCATTAGCTGGAACAAACATTAGAAAAATGAGGCATTTTGAGGGATGTTTTCATCTGGTCAGTCCGGAGGACTTGAGGAAGTGGGTATCTTTAGAAGAGACAAAAAGTTCAGTGGTTTTAATGAGCCATTTCTAGCTTGATTGACGGACTAAATAAACATTAGTATGAAATGTGACAACTTCTTTGCCTAACTATAGATATAGATCTGAGTCGTCTTTTGTTGGTATTTTTGTTTAGTTTTGGAAGGATTGACTAGGCTAGAAGTGATCCAGGCGGATTGATTAATCCTGATCATCATTGCATATATGAGTTGTAATATTAATTCAGCGGATATGTATCGCGTTAAGATGAAATTTTATTTTTTCAAAATCTGAATAAAATGATGTACAGTATCTGGTCCCCTTTCCTTTTGAAGTTATAAATATCTATCATGGTCTAATTTCTTACAAAGTTTTATTTTATTTTTTTTTAATTAACAAATCTATACTGAAAATACAACTGAGGCAATGAACTAGGCTAACGGGTTAAAAATAATAAACACAAATTACAAATAAACTAGAGTGTATTTGCCTCCTCAAAGGATTTATCCGACTTAAATCCATATTAGTCAACCTGTAGTCAATAGAAAGGATGCAAAATCTTTATAGAGCAATAAGATAAAGGTGGACCAGCAAAGGATACCCGATGTGGAATTCCAAAGAAACTGACAAAGAAAATAATAATAACAATAATAATAAGGATCTATTAGATCCTTCCAAAAAAGTCCAATTTGATGACGAAGATCCATAGCTAAGGGCTTCACAAAGTCTAATTGGATTTTGAAATGTACTTCACTTCTCACTCTATTGCAGAGAATTTTTACGTTGTTGGTTCTGGAGTAATTTTGTATGGGAGTTCAATCGTCTTAATCTTTGTATTGGAGAAAAAAAAATTCCACAGGAACTGAAAAAATTAGAGATCTTTATTAATAATAAAAACGTGAAAAACACGAGATAGATAGTCACTGCTAAGAAGTCCATGGATGTCCAAAGTGGTCCAAACTAAACTGCATTCGATAACATTATTAACGAGCTCTATTTAAAATGCTTTTTCAGATTATCCTTTTTTTTAATGTAAAAAATCCCTAAAAATTTCAGTGAAAAAAATGCACAACAAATAGAGGAGATATCTTATTTGAAGATCCTGTAGGTACTTGTGTTAGTAGCCCTGAATATGAATATTTCATTACCAAAACAAAGTTTAACCGGTTGAATATAATTACTTGACAAATATCATATTAGGAGAAGAGTTTGCTCAAATTGATCATTTAATCCACACAATGTATGGTGTTTGACATAAGAAAATCAAGTCTTTAACCATGTAACAGAACGTCGGAGATCAAAAAGATAGAAAACACTGATAGACACAAATTATTAGAACGATACCAATTACTTTTATTTTTTTTCATTTCTCAAAGGCCTCATATGGTCATATGTGTCTGCTACTATTCCATTTCTTCATCAACTTTAATAAGATTTTTTATGATTTTTTTTCCTTTCACAAGGTTTTGCAACACATACCAAAAGAAAAACACTGAAGATTGAAAATGAAACATTGTCTAATCAAGAAACCAATAAATTGAATTTTGTTTTACTAGTAGAATAATAAGATGGCCACCTGATTGATGAGAATTTATTGTGTCCTAATCAAACCCGTATACTATTATGTACATATTGCGCTAATAAGCATATATAATAAATTCCGAAGCTCTAAACCAGAGTTGAGCAAGAATTAGAAGCAGGATCAAACAGAGCAGGAAGCAAGAACTTCCTCTTATTGACTCCATTAGCGTTGTAGCTCGCCTTTGTAGCAGAATCCACCAACAAATTTCCGGCGTAACCCGGGTAAGCCCCTTTGCCAAATATCCCCGGGCACGCGGTGGCGGCTTCCAGTGGCGCGGTGGCGGGACCCTGATAGTAGCCGTTTCCAAAGGGGTTGGTGGCGGTACCGGCCAGAAGGGTGGCTAAATTGATGACCATCCCATCAATTCCGACGTCGTTGTTGGGGGCAACCAAAGGAGGGCCTTGTGGACCGTATATTGGCTGGTGGAATGGCCAGGCGCATTGACCTGGACATTGGGTCTCTGAATTTCCCACCCAAATGTAAGTGAATTTCTGATTTCCGTAATTCTTGGCGGCCGGAAGAGAACCATGGGTGCCACACCGGCTGGAGCAGAACCCTTCAACCGCCACGTCCGACGAAGTCAAGACGACGTTGACGGCGGTGCCTAATTGGTTGCTTCCGGCGGCGGCCTTTGCTGCGATTTGTTGAATTTGCTGCGACTTGAGTGACTTGCCCAGAGAGTATTTCTGGTCTAGAGTTTGGGTGCCGAGATAAAACTGGACATTGGGTTTGGATTTGATGAGGGTATAATATTTCTGAATGGAATTGACCCAATTCGCAACTGAAGGTTGTTGGGGTTGGGATTTTGGGGAAGAAGACAGGGAAGTGACAAAATCAGAGATAATTGATTTCTGGGATTGGGTGAATTGGCCGTACCAGATGAGATTGAGTGAGACTCTGCCCGTAAGCAGAGGACCATTGTGGTATTTGAAAGGCATGGTTTGCTGAAGAACTCTCCCACCAGAAACAAGGTTTAGTAGTGACAATGCAATCAGCAAGAGCTGCGGCAGGGCAAAGGATGTCTTTGAGGCCATCTTTGATTCAGTTTTTTTTTTTTTTGTTTTTCTTGAAAATAAACTTTGTTTGTAATTTGAGAAACAGAGCAAAGCAGAGAAGAATTGATTGGTGTGATTTGGTGTGAAGTTTTTGGGGCAATGTGGAGGCGTTTATAAAGTAGTACTAGTGGCTAAATTACTATTGGAAACTTTGAAAAACTCGCGGGTAGGCTCCAGGAAAGCAGGCCAAGTTCGAAGCAGAACTCGTGTGTGACTAATGTAACGGTGTCATCAATTAAACACACTCTCAAAGGATACAGCTTTTTCGTTTTAATAACTCGTTTTTATTTAAGGGTTACCTTAAAAGCTTTTCTGTGGACTCTTGAAACCGCCATTTGCTACTAATTAATTGAAAATATCCTGCCTAAATGAAAAAACAAAATTAATTTATCAAATTAAGAAGGTTTTTCTGGCCAGTGCTGATGTGAGGTAATGCAGAATTGCTCATGACTATTGAAAATCCAAGCTCCGATTCTCCGCATTTTTTTCGTTCCTACTAAGAAAAAATATTTAACATTGATTAGGGATAAGGATAAAGCTTATTTCATCATTGATTTCAATTGAAAGCTCTCAAAGTCAATGGCGCTAAGCCGTCAGTGACCCAATACAAGTACTGCTTGACACTTAACAGCCTTTGTTGAGGACGAAGCTTCCTTGCGATTGAAGGCAAAAAATCCAATTCTGCATGTCTGAAAAATCCACGTGTGGGGGCTATTGCAACTTAATTGCATGCACAAATGACACACCCTTTCGAAATAGAGTAATTCTTTAACATTTGTCAATGCTTCCGTTTGGTCAAAAAAAGACTTAAAAAAAAAACAGACAACCAAAATGATTGATTAAAAAGGTCTTATGAGTGAGGAAGCTGCTCTTCAATTCTTCTCTCAAGCTGGAAACTGCGACGTCACTCTAGTACTCTACTGTTTTCTCCTATATCATTTAATTATTCATAATGATTCATTCAGCTCTCATTTTTTAAAACACTTTCTTCTACAATATTGATTTTTATTCAACTATATATAGCATATATGCAGTTGTTTCATAAACTAACAAGCATTTCGTGTAGAAATTCATGCAAATATGATAAGTATTCGTTTAATTATGAGTGAACGTTACTCACAGACACACATATATAAGTCCAATACCTTATGTTTTTAACTTTACTAGAATTCCTCAACCCACAAAAAAAATATATATATATATATATTTAAGGATTGAAGAAGGATTTTCATGAATGCTCCATCAAACTACTGGTGTTTTCACTTAATTTATTTCAAAAATTATATCTTATTGCTTTATTTCTTTATCTCCAACTTTGTTGAAAACCCGACATCTCAATGAAATGGATTTGGATGCATCGGTTTTTTATTTATTCTCCAATGAGTTAATGCATGTTGTAAACTTGTAAATTGTAATGTCTTCCCCCATTAAGTTATGAATTGAAACTCCCGTTAAGGTGTAAGTTTAGTGTTAATTCAACCCCACATTGTTGTCCTATAAATACAATGTGCATGGTGAGGGTTTTACTTAAGTATTGGAACTAAAATTGTTAATCAAATTTTTCCAAAAAGCTCCCTCACGGATATAAATCTTCTTTGATGATATTCTTTTCTTTTAAAATGTTTTCAAACATCGTACACATATTTGTTGTTCTTGCTTCTTACAATTCTTATAAAGAAGACTTGTTTTATTGTGGGAAGCATTTTGTTTAAATTAAACTAGGTAGTTTCTTTAGGACGGTTCAATTTTACATATTCAAGTATTTTATTGATTAAGCATTTTTGAAATAATTCCTCGAAAACTACTATACTAATTAGCAATGGTGGCACGACTGATCAGTTGATAAAATTCTGTTTCTTTGTAAGGCAAATTATTCCCTGTTCCAGAATTAATTTTAAATTTAGATTTTTACTTTTAGTTCAATATGTATTAAATTGAAAATTTAAATTGAATAATAATTTTAAGGAATAAAAGGAAGGATACACTTTCTCGGTTAGTAGTGCGGGAAACAGCTAGACAATAAAGAATAGGCTACAAACACACAATCCTAATGGTTTAATGGTTACCTCCCTTACTGCATTTAGACAAAATCAACTGCGCCATTTTGCAAATTAAGGCACTCAGAATAGTCACCACTCACCAGCAAATTAAGAGGAAAAATTTCAGCAGAGCATGCAAGTCTCCAGAATTCACAAACGTTCTGTGTCTTCCCTTTTCAAAATATCGAGAAAATATACTGCTAACAGCTCTATAGAAGATCACAATGCTATGTTTGGAAACAGTTTCAAGTTTTTTTATTTTTACTCCCTCTTCAGCAATCTCAAAACAGGACAAGAAGGGTAACAATACTTTTAGTCAAAACTGAAAAGGCACATTTTTTGGTACTGGGGGAGTTCAGGATTAGCAATTTAAATAAATTTTCCATTATTGATTAATTAATAGAACAAATGAATGAAAGAATAATAAGTTACAATGTCAGTATAATGTATATTACAGCTTGCTACATATTCTGTCTAGAAATTGAACAATATTTTTTTAGACTAAAGTGGAACATGAAGTGGTGGAAGGATCATAAAACGCCGGCAACACGAATTTCCGGCCGTTTGTACCATGTGCATTGTAGCTTGCACCGGTTGTCGGGTCAACCAACAAGTCACCTGGATATCCCGGATAAGCGCCCTTAGCATAGACACCAGGGCAAGCAGAGGAGGCTTCCAATGGAGCTTCGGCCGGACCCTGATAGTATCCGCTCCCGAACGGATTGGTAGCTGTTCCGGCCATTAGGCTTGCCAGATTGATCACTACTCCGTCCATACCCACGTCGTTGTTCGGGGCAATTAGTGGCGGAGTTTGGGGCCCGTATTGGGGCTGGTGGAATGGCCAAGCACAGTATCCGGGACATTGGGTATCGGAATTCCCGACCACAATGTATGCAAATTTATAGCTCTTTCCTTTGATAACAGCACCATTTGCAGATCCATGGAACCCACATTTGTTCCGGCAGAACCCGTCGAAGGTAACATCGGAGGCAGTGAGAACGATACTGATTGCATTCCTCTGTTCACCCTTTGAAGCCAATTGTAGGATTTGTTTCTGGGAGAGCGATTTCCCGAGGGAATAATTCTCGTCAAGAATTTGTTTGCCCAAATTGAGAGAAAGTGAAGAGGGCTTTTTGGAATTGGCCAGACGGTAGTATTTCTCGGTGGTTTTCCACCAGGAAGCAACCGACGGTGGTGGTTGAGTGGATGAAGAAGAAGAGAGTGAGGAAATGAAATCAGCAACAATGGCTCTTTGGGAAGGCTTGAATTTACCATACCAAATCAAGTTGACTGAAATTTTCCCAGTTAAAAGTGGGCCTTTGTGATATTCTAACACCTGGAATTGCTGGTCTTGACCAGCGAGCATTCTTGAAGCAATAGACACATTGCACACAGAGATCAAAAGGAAAAGTTTAAGAACGAAAGTGAATGAATTGGCCATTTTTAACTTGTCAAGGCAAAGAAATTGGGATGGGATCTTTTCTGCAGAATGGCAATTCTACTGTTGTTTTTGTTGTTTGGAACTTTGGAAGGATGAATTGAACACATCAAGATTCAGGTATTTATAGATTTGGAGAAAGATAAGACCTCCCCGCTTAATCATGTACAACTGGACTGGTATTATTATTTATTGCCGAAAGTTGTAAACTTGCATTTTTGCATTGAGTTTCGGTCCTGCGAAAGGGACCTTTTGAAATAGAATATGGGGCAAAATTAAGTGAGAAGTCCAAGTTGTTCAATCAAACTCTCAAAGGCTCAAACGCGTTTGATAACTGGCAAATTGCCTGCCTTACTTGCTTTACAATGAACGCAATGCATACTAAGGTTTAGGGTTTAGGGTTAGGGTTTCGTGTTGTGCTTTATGGACCATAATATTGTATTTGTCTCAAAAACATAGTCTATATTGCAAATTGTAATATATACTGTTTTTAGTAAGAAGTACAAATTATAATCTGGATTTTTTTTTATTTTTTTGTAACAGAGTGAGTATTTTTTTTTCTCAAGAGATTTAGTAATTAGTATAATAATCATGTCTTAGATGAAGTGGTGTTTCTTCACCATAATTTTCGAATGAAGAAAAAGGACTTGTTGACAAAGTTACCATCACAAAATTCGGCATCTGGTATACCCAGAGGTACCGTGTACCCCCTGCGCTTGTACTTTACTCTCTTAGAATAGCATGAGTCTGCTAGATAATTCAGCTTTCTTTTTCTTTATTTTTTTAAACGCGGCATATATAAATTACCGAATTCATTCAAATTTTGAAAACTTTGTGATAGAATATTATTGTTGGGCGACAGCCGGCGGCGATCGAGGCGTTGAGGCGGCAATGGGAGTCGGCGATCGAGGCGTTCGGCAGGGGGGGCGGCGCAACCGCGGGCACCAGTACAGCCGGGTCGTTTAGTTTATCACGGGGGGATTTATACAAGTAATATGTGTCCCCTCTTAACGTAATAATACACTCTCCTTACACACACACGAAAAAAAGATTACCTTAGCTACATTTGCGTGTTCGGCGGGGCGGCGCAGCCGGGGCAGGTTGGTGACATGCGATTTCGGTAGCCGCGGGAGTCATTTAGTTTATCATGGGGGCGAAGCTCTCCCAATTAACACCTTGTAAAAAAAAAGCATGGATAACCAGTTTACAACTAGTGGATAATCGGTTTACACCTTCTGGATAACCAGTTTACAACTTGTGGATAACCAGTATGAAATGGATGGATAACCATCAATTATGGCATGGACAACCATCACATAGCACACGCAGGAAAACATGGATAACCAGTTCAGATCTAGTGGATAATCAATAGTAAAATTATGGATAACCAGTAATTGTGTGTGTTTGTGCGTGATGATGAAAACAGTAAAATGGATTAAAACAATTTTGTTTGTGCATGTAATGTAAAAGTGAAAACAATTAAGCGCGTGTAGCGTGTGTATTTGGTGGGGAGTATACGGTACACCCGGGTGCACTGGATACGGACTCCAAAATTCTTCTATTGATGTACCTACATTGGTAGCCTTCTCATCAACCCTCACTGCACGTTTCCTCTAAGCTCTGTATGCTTGTGTTGGGTATTTGCAATTACAACCAGTTAGCGTTTCACGTTAAATATTCTCATTATAATTAAGCATCCAACTCAAAACCAAGTAGAGTAGTGGAGTAACTAAGGATCTTATTTACATAAAGTAGCCATCATGAATCACATTTTCTCATGTGGAATGATCCCATGCATGCTATCAGGCTGATCTACGCAACAAGGGAAGAAGGAAAGCACATTTCAGCTTAGTTAGACTAATAATTACAGTAACTCTTTTCATCATATTATGTGGGATCGATCACTGAAATACTAAACCAATACACATCTCCGCAGATTGACAAAATCAAAGTTAAAGGGATCCACTAATTTTTGCATCCATAATGCATGCATTAACGACAGAAATAGATCGTCTCAATAAAAAACTATCACTTGAGATGAATAGTCACAAATAAACAATTTGGCGGAAAATGGATACTGCGACTAATATATAAACATATTTTGGAAGTTGTAGGACCGATGAGTGTTATAGAAAATTTTTTACACTGAACTAAATTTGATATCTTAGTGATCTCTAATTTTGAGAGGCAAAGGTCTTGCTTATTTGTTTTAGTAGCACAAATTGAGTCATTGACAAGGGTACATGAAATATACATCAAACCAAAACACCGTTTAATCTATTGATAATCGATAGTACTTGAAATGTTTCATACTATGAAGATATGGTTGGTTCAATACTTCAATTGATCATTTCATCCTCACAACTTTTCTATTAGTCCTTTATTTATTTATTTTTTTCATTGATATGAATTTGAATTTTACATGTTGGAATTCTTCTTATTCAGAATTTTAAATAAAAACACCCGAACGAAAGAAAGGAAAAGCAAAGGAAAACTGATAAAGGAATGAACTTTAAAGATGGAAAACGAAATATTCTCTCATCAAGAAACCAATAAATTGAATATTGTTTACACGAAGAACTAATGTAATTAGGCTACAATCAAAATGATGAGAATTTATTGTGTCCTAATCAATCCTTACTATATACTATATAAATATTTCTCGACCATACATATAGAAGCAGGAGTTAGTATCCTGAATCTTTAAACCAGAGTTGAGCAAGCATTAGAAGCAGGATCAAACAGAGCAGGAAGCAAGAACTTCCTCTTATTAACTCCATTTGCGTTGTAGCTTGCCTTCGTAGCAGAATCCACCAACAAATTTCCGGCATAACCCGGGTAAGCCCCTTTGCCAAATATACCCGGGCACGCGGTGGCGGCTTCCAGTGGCGCGGTGGCCGGACCCTGATAGTAGCCGTTTCCAAAGGGGTTGGTGGCGGTACCGGCCAGAAGGGTGGCTAAATTGATGACCATCCCATCAATTCCGACGTCGTTGTTGGGGGCAACCAAAGGAGGGCCTTGTGGACCGTATATTGGCTGGTGGAATGGCCAGGCGCATTGACCCGGACATTGGGTCTCTGAATTTCCCACCCAAATGTAAGTGAATTTCTGATTTCCGTAATTCTTGGCGGCCGGAAGAGAACCATGGGTGCCACACCGGCTGGAGCAGAACCCTTCAACCGCCACGTCCGACGAAGTCAAGACGACGTTGACGGCGGTGCCTAATTGGTTGCTTCCGGCGGCGGCCTTTGCTGCGATTTGTTGAATTTGCTGCAACTTGAGTGACTTGCCCAGAGAGTATTTCTGGTCTAGAGTTTGGGTGCCGAGGTAAAACTGGACATTGGGTTTGGATTTGATGAGGGTATAATATTTCTGAATAGAATTGACCCAATTCGCAACTGAAGGTTGTTGGGGTTGGGATTTTGGGGAAGAAGACAGGGAAGTGACAAAATCAGAGATAATTGATTTCTGGGATTGGGTGAATTGGCCGTACCAGATGAGATTGAGTGAGACTCTGCCCGTAAGCAGAGGACCATTGTGGTATTTGAAAGGCATGGTTTGCTGAAGAACTCTCCCACCAGAAACAAGGTTTAGTAGTGACAATGCAATCAGCAAGAGCTGCGGCAGGGCAAAGGATGTCTTTGAGGCCATCTTTGATTCAGTTTTTTTTTTTTTTTTGTTTTTCTTGAAAATAAACTTTGTTTGTAATTTGAGAAACAGAGCAAAGCAGAGAAGAATTGATTGGTGTGGGTTTGGTGTGAAGTTTTTGGGGCAATGTGGAGGCGTTTATATAATTAGTGGGCTAAATTTTAACATTGGAAAGTTCGAAAAGATCGAGCGGGTAGGCTCCAGGAAAGAAGGCCAACTTTGAAGCAGAAGTTTTGTGTGACTAATTTGAGAGGGTCATCATTAAACAAACGCAGTGAGGACATGAGAAAGGATACAGCTTGCTTATATTTTAATAACGCGTTGGTTAATTTAATGGTTATGTTGGAAGCTTTCTGTGGACTCTGGAACCGGCCAGATGCTACTAAATACTGCTGCTAATTATAGGAAAAAATATTGAGCCAATTTGAGATAAGCTCGAAGAGTCAAACACAGGTTTTTCTAGCCAGTGTTGATTTGGTGCAAGTTGTGACATGTAAGAGGTGGTATATTGTAGGATAGAGATACTAGTAATTTCCAAATTCAAGCTCCGATTCTCCGCATATACCTACCAAAGTAATCATCAATACAGAATTTTTTTCCTTGTATGAGATAGTGGTGATAATAATCTCTCCTCCTCATCCATACACAATTACACTAGATTTTTTTTTTTTTTTTGTGGTACCTATATTATTAAAGTTGGACTTATCAGATTATAAATGGTTAATTTGTTCTCCAAGGAAATATAAACATATAATAATAGTCACTCACATTAATTTTGGCACAACTGTTAATTTCTGAGGTAATTCATTACTTCTAAGTCAAAGGGGGAAGGCCAAGCCGCCTTAATCTGTCCCAATAGGCCAATTACTGTTGATGAGGAGGGAAGCTTCCTTGCGGTTGAAGGCAAAATCCAAGTTGGGGTATAATTCCACGTGTGGGCTCATGCAAGCTTGCATGCACACCCTTTCACAATACTTCTTTAACATTTTATCATTCCGCCGTTTGGTCAAAAGAGTCGGAACAGACACAACCGAATTGACAAAAAGGTCTTATGAGTAAGAAATCTACTCTTATTCCTCCCCTTTTCAAAAAAATAAAATAAAAAATCTCAACTCCTGCCTATACCATTCGTCTCATTAAACAAAAAGTTTAAATGGGGTGAATTATTTTAGAACAAAATGAGTATTTATACATATTATTATTCACTTTGTTCTTGTACAGTTAAAAAATTTCAAGTTTTATCTTATTGTTTTGCAAATTTTCATAGTTTGTTTAATGTATTAGTCCTTTAGTTAAACTAATAACAAGCATTTCAAATGCGATATTTTTATCTTAGAGTGTTCTTTTAATAAGATGTTTTTCCTTAAGAAAAAAGAGTAGATTATTAAATGTTAAATGAGGAGTCTAAATTTCTAATTCCGACTCCTTTGGTTAATCGTGTAGAGTTGAGAAAAGCAAATGTGTAAGTGGATTTTTAATGAGGATCGCAAAAGAAATTTCATGAAAATTGCTCCCTAGAGGCTTCGAGCTAATTAATTTATTAGTGATTCCAGCACTTCTTACATCAATGAAAGTCACGCTTAAGTCTATTGGTTTTGATCACTAAGACGAAGAACTGAATTAGACCATCTGACATCTTGCATTTGCAAAAAGAACTCCTTTAAGAATAGTCACCAGCCAAAGCAAAAGGGATTTCTCCTTTTTGTGTTCGTTGCTATTAAGATTATCTCTATCCTTTGTAATGTTTCAAAAGTTTAATAACACAAAACAACCGGTGTTTCTCACTTACGTTGTATACTTACTAATCAATTTAATTTAGGTTTTTTTTTTACCTTTTTATCTCTTGCACCAAAACACAAAAGTTTGATAACATTCTCACGTTCTACGAAGTCCCGGGGAAAATTGAAATGGTATTATGGAATTAGTGAATAATCTGCCATTATTGATTAATAATTGAACAAATGAATGAAAGAATGAGTTACAATGTCACAATGTTAGTATACTATAGCTTGCTGCATATTCCATCTGGAAATTAGACAATATTTTTTAGACTAAAGTGGAACATGAAGTGGTGGAAGGATCATAGAACGCCGGCAGCACGTATTTCCGGCCGTTTATTCCATGTGCATTGTAGCTTGCACCAGTTGTCGGGTCAACCAACAAGTCACCTGGATAACCCGGATAGGCCCCCTTGGCATAGACACCTGGGCAAGCAGAGGAGGCTTCCAATGGAGCTTCGGCCGGACCCTGATAGTATCCATTTCCGAATGGATTGGTGGCTGTTCCGGCCATTAGGCTTGCCAGATTGATCACTACTCCGTCCATACCCACGTCGTTGTTCGGGGCAATCAGCGGTGGAGTTTGGGGCCCGTATTGTGGCTGGTGGAATGGCCAAGCACAGTATCCGGGACATTGGGTCTCTGAATTACCCACCACAATGTATGCAAATTTGTAACTCTTTCCTTTGATTACAGCACCATTTGCAGATCCATGGAACCCACACTTGTTCCGGCAGAACCCATCAAAGGTAACGTCCGATGCTGTCAAAACGACATTGATGGCATTCCTCTGTTCACCTTTTGATGCCAATTGGACAATCTGTTTCAGGGAGAGTGATTTTCCAAGGGAATAATTCTCATCAAGAATCTGTTTGCCCAAATTGAGGGAAAGTGAAGATGGCTTTTTGGAATTGGCTAGACGGTAGTATTTCTCTGTGGTTTTCCACCAGGATGCTACCGATGGTGGTGGTTGTGTGGATGAGGAAGAAAGGGAGGAAATGAAATCAGCAACGATGGTTCTTTGGGAAGGCTTAAATTTCCCATACCAAATCAAATTGACTGAGATTTTCCCGGTTAGAAGTGGACCATTGTGGTATTCTAATAGCTGGAATTGCGGGTCTTTATCAGCAAGAGATACATTGAAGATAGCGATCCACAGGATGAATGAAAAGAGTGATGAAACGAAAGAGGCCATTTTTACAAGTAAGAGCAAAGGATCTAATTAGCTCTGAATGAAATAAAATCTGTAGTTTTTGTTGTTTGGGTTGGAGATTTGGAAGTTATGGATGGATGAAATGAGGAGCATAAGAAGTAGGTATTTATAGTATTGGGGAAAAGAAAAGAGCTCCCTTTGTGGTCCAAAAACAGCTGGAGTGGGTATTATTTGATGGAGAAGAAGTGCAAATAATTGCAGGATATTTTTGTTTATTGCGTGTTGGTCTCGCGGAAAAGGGGCATTTCAGCAATGAAGAAATATAGAGAAAAAAATGAGAGATAGAAGAGAGGTCCAAGTCGTTCAAACAAACGGCGGCCCTGAAAGTCAAAAGCCCTTAAACAAACGCGTTGGATTAACACTGGCAGATTCCCATACTTACTTCCCCATGAAGGCGAATGCACATTTACAAGCTCCAGCTGTGGTGTTTACTGTTTAGTGCGGTGTAGTATATAGTATGGACCATTTAACCGAATTTACTAGTGGCTCTACCCTTGTGATTAAGGTTACATGTGAAATCCCCGTGATTTATTTTACAACTTCTTATCACCAAATATTGAAATTAAATTGTTGAATTAACGAATGTGAACTTGTAAGTGCTTGTTTGGACGTCAACTTACATTTTATTTTGCCACTTAAAAGTGGAAAGTGTTTCAAATTGAAAACTAAATGAGAAATAAAAATGTTGTTTGGATGTTGGTTTTGAAAAAAAGTATTTTTAACTACATTTTGAAATATCAAGTACAAGTCATCACTAAACAATTTAATACTGTCAATTATAGTCGCTAAAAAAAAAAACTTTTCCAAAAATAATCACTCAACAACGGAATCCTGCCAAATTCAACTTTTAGAGATTTAGAGATCGAATCTCAATTAAATGTAATAACAGGCCGTGTTGTATGAAATGTGATTAGTACCACTTTCTTTTCTTTTTTTTTTTGTCAATCACACTTAGGTGATTCTCAATACTGTTTGTTTAATACAAGTTGTTTTATTTTCTTAAAAAAAATAAAAATAGAAATAGAGTAAGTAATCAAATCCATATAGTTTAACAAAATGAATAAGATATTTTTAGCATGTGACTTGAACTTTACCAATATACACATTGCATATCAAACTGCCACGGATGTCACTGCTAATAAAGCAAAAGGGATCATGGAATTATCCCTCACGCATGTTGATTTACGCGACGAAGGAAGCATGCAGGAAGCCCAGGTTTGGTTCAACATAAATATTAGTGGAGTAGCAGGTTGTGTAGGAAGTCGTAGTTAAAAGTTTTGAAAACGTTCTTCTGTAATATGCGATTGCCGTTTGCGTTGATGTCCGCATCAAACTGGGCAGCTGTGGACAGGTGCATATCTTTTAGGGACCAAAGGCGCCATCAAGCTTTAAATTTATCCTTTTCTAAGTTGGAACCTGGATTCATTCATGGCATAGGAAGCTATGGTATGAGGAGGAACCGGATCAAGAAAACATATCTTTTTTCGTTTTTTTTTTTTTTTTATTAAAGCAGGGGACTATTAACACTTGATTAACACATTTGTGAGATGCGTCACTTTTATTATATCATGTTCTAATCACAGAATAATATCTATTTCATATTTCTGAGTTGTATCATATCTTATGTATTATATCTCGTACGTAGTAGTTTCAGATTTTTTTGGATACATAGTATAATGATGATATTACTATAACACATTGTAAGGGTCGGATAATACAGATTTTAGATCAAACATTGATAGAAATATTATTATGCAACATTGTAAAGGTCGGATAATTCAAATTTCAGACTAAACAGTGATATGGAGCCAAGATTGTACATCTTCCAAAGTGGTTTTCAACATATACTCACTCTATATGTCCAAAAATAATTGTCATGTCCATGATTGTTTACTTTAAATTACACTAAAAATGAAAATCAAAATTAGACTATAATTTTCGACGACGAGATTTAGTTGCAAAGTAAACTAACGGCTCCATTCTACTTCTAAAATTCACTGTACAAATACATATGGTCGAATTTTACAGTCCAACACTTTCTCAAGAAATGATAGATTCCTTTAATTTGCACCGCATTAGTTTTTAAGAGCAAAAAGACATCGAGATCAGCATATAGCTTGCAAGTCAGTCTTTTAATTATCTCCATCATAAAGTGGGATCAGTGATATAGACTAATGGACATCTTCACAATTTGACTCGATCCTAAGGAATCTAATGTTAAAACTTGGGCTGTTTTCAGCTTGTCCGCTCCTCTCAAGGCATATCATCATTATTCCACAATGTCAGTCATTCCAAATTTCCAATGCCAACAATTTTCCTGAAAATTTTGGACGAGTTTCAATCATTTTGAAAGATCATTCACTTCGGGTCCCAATATTACTACAGCGCATTTTAGTGCATGCTAGAGTTTTATGCAAATGCAACATATCTGGGACCATATGGGTAAATAACAGCACAAGTTCAAAACTGAGGAAACATAAAAGTTGCGAGTAATGATGAATTGACAAACAAAAGAATTTGCCATTATCGAATTTTAGGGGTGAAATTTTTTTTTAAAAAAAAAATGAATGAATGAATGAGCTACAATAATGTTCCGATTCCCTACACTAAAATATTTTTCTAGCCATTCTCTGGCAAAAGAACACGTTTTTTAAACCAAAGTGGAACATGAAGTGGTGGAAGGATCATAGAACGCCGGCAACACGAATTTCCGGCCGTTTGTACCGTGTGCATTGTAGCTTGCACCAGTTGTCGGGTCAACCAACAAGTCACCTGGATAACCCGGATAGGCCCCCTTGGCATAGACACCAGGGCAAGCAGAGGAGGCTTCCAATGGAGCTTCGGCCGGACCCTGATAGTACCCGTTTCCGAATGGATTGGTGGCTGTTCCGGCCATTAGGCTTGCCAGATTGATCACTACTCCGTCCATACCCACGTCGTTGTTCGGGGCAATCAGTGGTGGAGTTTGGGGTCCGTATTGTGGCTGATGGAATGGCCAAGCACAATATCCAGGGCATTGAGTTTCAGAATTCCCGACCACAATATATGCAAACTTGTAAGTTTTTCCCTTTATTACAGCACCTCTTGAAGATCCGTGGAATCCACATTTGTTTCTGCAGAACCCATCAAAGGTAACATCGGAGGCGGTAAGAACGATATTGATGGCATTCCTCTGTTCACCCTTTGATGCCAATTGGACAATCTGTTTCTGGGAGAGTGATTTTCCTAGGGAATAATTCTCGTCAAGAATCTGTTTGCCCAAATTGAGGGAAAGTGAAGATGGCTTTTTGGAATTGGCCAGACGGTAGTATTTCTCAGTGGTCTTCCACCAAGAAGCAACCGACGGTGGAGCTTGGGTGTTTGAAGAAGAAGAAGAAAGTGAGGAAATGAAATCAGCAACGATGGCTCTTTGGGAAGGCTTGAATTTGCCATACCAAATCAAGTTGACTGAGGTTTTCCCAGTTAAAAGTGCTCCATTGTGGTATTCTAATAGCTGGAATTGGTCTTTGGGAGATTGGGTTGATGTTTCACTCAAAAGCATTCTAGAAGCAAGAGATACATTTATCAGAGAGACCAATAGGAAGAGCTTAAAAACGAAATTAGACGAAGAAATTGAAGCAAAAGTGGCCATTTTGATATTTTTTGGCAAAGCTATATAGATATCAGGTGAAGACTGGGAAGGAAGATTGAGATAGAAATCGGGATGATGATGGAAAATGGTTATCAAGAAGTGGGTATTTATAGTGAAGAAGGAAAAAGAGTTCTTCAAAGTGGGTCCATTCATCTGGACTTTTAACAATATATTAAGAAAAAAAAATCAATAATAAAAAATTTTGAAACAATATTTGCAATAAATAGTGCGTGTCTGTGTGTGGCGAATCTGGTGAGGAAAGGGACATCACTACATCAGCTCAAAATTTTGTCCTAACGGTTACCTCTAAAACGCGTACATAATTTATTGGCTTTATTGCTTCGAAATGCCAATGAATAAGGTCCCTTACAGCTTAGCAGATGTCCAATGTTGGACCATGAGTGACTTTTACCAAAAAGGGCATGGATGAGTACCAAAACCAGAGGGTTATATTCGTCAAAAGATAGCGGAAGCTTGTTGGCGTATGTAGTAAGGTTGACAGGCTGTGAAATGCATTGGTTTTGGGGAAGCGTAAAGAGAGAAAGGAGAGAGTGTACAGAATACAGAGTACAGAGAGAGTCCAGCTGGCAGCTGAGTGAGATATATTGAGATGGGTGATACTGTCAAATTACCAAAATGGGGTGCCAACTCTGGAGGGGAGTATCCTATGAAACATCCAAAAGTTTGGTGGGGGTTTTTAGGCTCTAGGGGCTCCTCCTACGTGGCTATTACTGACTGCACAAAATGCTCGTGATTTCTCGTTAAATCTAGCCCCCCCAGCTGGATCAAGCGTTTCATGACAACTGTCTCTAGCTTCCCTCCACGTCATCCCCTGCACGGCCTCGAGTTTGTGAAGATCCTATTCGGCTATTTGTGTGTGGATAATAGAAGCAAAAAAGAAAAAAAAAAGTAAAAGAAAAAAGAAAGAAAATATAGAACATCACACTCTTTATAAGGCTTTGTTTGTTCATTTTTTGATCGTTTTTCAAGAATTATTAATTAATAATTGTCCCATCCCAACCAATCTTGTTTACATTTTCAATACAAATTTTTACAATTTTAATACAAAAAACACCTAAAAATACACACTGAAAAAACGAACAAACATTGTTACGAATTGGAAACATGTTCTATGTACGATCTTTATAATAGTAGTTGAACTTTGAGTTACTTGTGTCGACTTCTAAGGCTCTGTTTGGTTAGTTTTTTTTATAGTTTTTTTATATTTTATTATTATTATCTGTTTTATCACAGCATATTTTTTTACATTTCTAATGCAACTTTTTACATTTTCAATACAAAAAACACCTAAAAATATACATTAAAAAAATAATCCAAACATAAAATTCTAATTTTTTTTTAAAGATCATGAATTGCCAAAAATAAACACATACTACTGGTTACTACCACACAAAGGGAACATGAATTAATTGACCTTTATAATTCTTTATTTCCTCAGGTTTTTTAAAAAACCCGTGAAATGCCAGCACTCCCCACAAAAGAATTCATTATGTTCAAAACAAAATTAGGAGCCAAATTAAGTTTGGGCCATTGTTAATTTGGCAATTATACTTCTACTAATAAATTAAAATAGAAAAACACGTTGACGGGTATTGTTATATAAAACGGCCAAAAAGATGTTTTGACACAAATTTTTTGTTTTTTCAATTATGAATTCCACTCCACAAGAGATTTGATTCAACTTTGGGGAATAGTTATCCTAAGTCCTAACATTATATTACACTATTTTTACTATTTTCGATTAATTTCATGTAAATGGTAATCCACTCTAACAATTGCATTAATTTATATTTTAGTCCTAACACTTAACATTAATTTTTACTACTTTCTCTATCCTCCCAGAATGGAAATGCGGGGAAGAAAATTGGTATTTATTTTTTCTTCAATTCGGAGGGATGGAGGCACACAGAGAGAGGGAATAACTTGATATTTGATACTGCATGGACTTGTTTGATTGAAATATTTGTTGCAGACCGATATTTTTCTATAAGCTAATTGAACATTGAGAATATTTGTTCATGGAAACTGATGCTTGCCTGGATCTAATTATTAATTAGCCCGTCTTAAAAACAATGGACAGAACTGGCAAAATTCAATATTAATCTCCCCCGTATAGTTATATTACAAAATAATTTCTAACAACATATCATTACCATTAATTGATAATTAAAAGTTGTACACATTGTTAAAACGCTGCGACAAAAGTTCAAGAGGTGAGGTCATCATGTATTAGAGGCCTAAATTAACTTGCAGATTACTGTATAATCCAAATTATGGTCGGCATTATAGGCAACCTTGAAATTGTAACTCTAATTATTTATTTCATCGAGTACTATGGGAGTAACAAATTAATAAAAAAACTAGGGTTTGGCAATACGTCCTCCATGCAATGTCTTAAAGCTCCGGTAAATGTGATTTTTTGAATAATTCAGCGTGTCGGATGGATTGGGTGGATAGAGTAGCAGCAGCTTGCAGCTAACATCACACCAATTGTCTCATTATTCGCCAACATCACAGATAAATACGTTTTATTTTTTCTTTTTTTTTTGCTATTGTTATTTTCTTTTGGCAATATTTCAAGAAGTGGTCTAAATCTACCGAATCTAGGCGTTCAATTATTTATTCATTTGGTTTGTTATTTGGGTTAGTTTTTTGGGTAAATGAATCATTAATGTGGCACTTTGTTTGTACTAGAAGTTTGTTAGTGTAGAAATTATATAGTACTAGTTGGAAATGAGATTCTCTCTTGAAATTTTCGGTAATATTCGAGTTATTTCTTATGCCAACTAAGAAAGCGCGTGTTCTGGAATTAACAGAAACAGAGGTTGGAACGAGCATTACTCAATGCTTAATTAATGATGGCTTAATCAAATATGGTTGTTCTTCCATGGTTCGGATAGGTAGCAGCTGAAGAAATATACACAACAAGATGATGATTGATGCATCTGATTACTTGATTCTGTTTGTATAAACATGTATATAGTTTTTTGATCACAGGGGTCTGCTTGTAAATATCTTAAAGTCTTAGTTCCTTATGTAAATAGTTAGGGGCATACCTGTCATTAATACAACAATTAGAGTTGGTTAATCCTTTGTATTTAAGGTGTCTGATTCTGGACACATTCAAGTGTAGTTTTACAGAAATAACACAAAACTTTCCCAAATTCTACTCTCTAATAGCGGTTATCAGAACCCTAACCACCATTTCTTGTTTTGCTTGATGGTATCAGAGCAGGACTATCCTGCCTGATCATCACATTCTGCTGCTCAAGATTTTCGATTCCGTTTCTTTACATACCGGAATTTCTTTGTTTACTTTCTGATTCTCGGAAACCATGGCGGCTCGCCGGACCGATGATACAGAACACGAACAGAGGAATGTTCGTCACAATGAAAGAGATGAAGACCGAGCTCGAAGAGAGGAAGACTTCTCACAGTTCGGCGTTTACTCACATCCGCTTTCCTTACATGCTTCTGATCATTCCACCATGTCAATTGTGGGGATGAAGCTGACGGAGAGCAACTACATTGCCTGGAGTCATGCGATGAGAATGAATCTAGGTACGAAAAATAAGCTTTGTTTCATAAACGGAGATTATCCAAAACCTATAGAGACTAGTGCTGAATATCCTCAGTGGATAAGGGTGAATAACACCATAGTATCTTGGATTGTGAACTCTCTTTCCGATGAATTACATGATGGATATATTTTAGCAGCAGATGCATATGATTTGTGGCTTGATCTGAAACAATGGTTTGGAGGAGTTAATGCTTCTCAGATTTATCAGATTAAGAGAGAAATCAATTCTATTAGTCAAGAAAATTTACCTTTGGCCTCCTATTTTACCAAGCTGAAAAGATTGTGGGATGAACTAACACATCTTGATCCAATAGATATTGTTCCTGCACTAGATGCACTTGTGGTATTGTTGGTAAGGTAGCACAAAAGGTTGAAAGGGATAAGATGATGCAGTTCTTAATGGGATTGAAAGACCTTTGCCTGATGTGAGAATTTCTTATGGAATGGTTGTAGAAATTGAGAGACAGAGAAATGTTCAGATGATTTATAGTAGTCAAGCTGATCACAGTGCCATGATGGCTAGGAGTACTACAATGCAAGTTCCTGTTGCTATGAACTATCCTGTCACAATGCAACCTTCTGCAATAATACAACCACAACCTCTTATGACAAATCAGGCTACTGGAACCGGTCAAAATGTAGCTATGTTTGCACAAAAACAAGGGGTTCAGAAAAAGGAAGATAAGAGAATCTGTGGTGTGATCAATGCAAAAAGTCTAATCATACCAAATAGACTTGTTTTCATTTACATGGTTATCCGGATTGGTGGAGAGTGCCTGGTGGAAAAAAGGGAAGAAAGCAACAAAATGGAGGCAAACACATAGCTAACTTGGCAGACACACCAATGGATGCAATGATGGTGAACAATGTCATGGGATACAATGCTGCAACTGTTGGATCTTCTAATCAAATGGCAGGTCCTGAGAACATGCAGGCAATCATGCAGAGTCTCAACAGCTTGCATCAGGAAATGAATAGACTGTCAAAAGGGAGGATGGTTCAAGCTGATACTGGAGGTGGACTAGGAAGCTTTGCACATTATGGAGATTTTGCAGGTATGCATTATGACCATATACTCAATACTGTTGATATGGTTTCACCTAGTGCATGGTTTATGGATTCTGGTGCAACTAGTTATATGGCAAAAAACTTAGGTCTCCTAGATACATATGCCAAAGTAACAAAGCCCACACCTGTTCACCTTCCTGATGGTAGTGTTAAGTATGTAGAACATATAGGGAATGCCAAACTTTCTTCAACCTTAACTCTCACAGACTGTCTTCACATTCCTTATTTTCAATTCAACCTTATCTCTGTTAGCAAGTTGGCCAAAACTGCACATATTGACACACTTTTTTCCACTGATTTTTGCATCCTGCAGGACCAGGAGAGTAAAAAAGTTGTGGCAGTCGGCAAACTTGTTAATAGACTCTACATCATAGATCAAGATTCTTTCAGTGAAGAACACATTATGTCCTTTATTCAATTTTATGTAAATCCACTTTTCCTTTCAGTTTTTAATAAAGATGATGTAGCTTTTAAAGTACATTCTGATAAAGGCAATGTAAGCCAACTTTGGCATTCTAGACTTGGACATCCCTCTGATACTGTATTGAACCACATTATAGATTTATCATCATCAATAAAATCTCATTCTTTATGTGACATTTGCCCTCTGTCAAAGCAACATAAATTACCTTTCCCTGTTAGTAACACCAGGTGTTCTAACATCTTTGATCTCATACATATAGACATCTGGGGACCATATAAAGATAGATCCCTAACAGGTTGTCATTTTTTC